GAAAAGCACTAAATAATCAACACCTTATGCAAACCGGTAACGTCCAAAGATTAAACTATGTAAACCAAACTTCAATCCGGAATAACAATCTCGCGGGACATAAATGGTAAACATGAATATTAGATTGCTACGTTTGGTTCATGCATCCATTTCAACTATGATGCCTTTGTTAGTTTTGTTACGGTTATACCACGTACACTGGTGATGCCTGAAGAGAACCATCACACTCTATTTATATTGGTCAACATTTTGTCCCAGCTTATCCATCTACTAACAACCATGCATGCCTCCTTTAATGCTACAAATTTGATACTAAGTTATAGCCTTTTTCCTGATTTTCATGGTCACGACTTCCAAGGGCGCGATACGTTTTTGATATGATCTACCAACAAAGATACTTAATCTGGTTAAACACTGGGGAGACTCCTGAATCTGTCTTAAATACAGTATATCAAGTAGGTCCTCATTTAGCTTTATTGAATAGGAGTGGGCAACTTAGTCGACACATCGGTAGATATAAATTGAACATGGTCAACATAATTCTACTTTAATATTTCTCTGTACGTAGGAGTCATATTCTAAACACTGCTTCGTCTACGTTGGTATATGTTTTATTTTCCGAGCTTTCGGATCGTTCGATCCATCATCAGGGACTAGTGATACAAATGAATTAACTAGCGGTTGAAAAAACTAAACACATCACGAAAATGCTAAATATAATAGAGCGCGCTACAGATGCGCGCGCACACAAGCTAAGAAAATTAATTTTGAGTTAAAATGGGACGATATACGTCTGGTAACAGGCGTCCACAGTCTATATTAAACAAAACATTATTGTTCTTAGATATGAACTATGCCTCCGTCCATCCACGCATATTCCTTCGACTTTCTGTTGCTAAGATCTTTATGTTATCCCAGGCAATGTCATGGTCGTTGCTGTTTTCATGGTCAGATAAGGCGGAACACTCCGTCTTTCCTAATCTGACGCAAGCTTCATATTCTTTGGTTCGTGTCTTTAATGCCCTCCCTTTCTCTCCTATGTAAGAAACAGCACAGTCCTTACAGGGGATATTGATACAACGCCAGTTCTTTTGCTCATGGGTATCGCATCTTTAGGCTTCGATAGTATTTGCCTGAGTGATTTAACTGGTTTTAGAGTTGTGTTGATATTATGGTGTTGTAAGATGCGTTTTACTCTTTCTGAGACAACTTTAACGTAAGGTAGAGATGCATAACCTTTGACTTCGTCATGTTGACTTGAATTACGTAGACGGGCTTTCTTGTACTTAGAGAGAAAACGCTTCGGGTAGCCGTTCTCAGTGTTCGTGGAGAGATGTAGTTAGGTGTTTCCGCTCTCTATCCTTATTTGGTTCAGATGAGGGTACCGTCTCTGCTCTAGAAAATAGTGTTCTCACCACAGAAACTTTGTGCTGGACAGGGTGATGACTGTGGAAGTCCAGATRTCTGTCAGTGTGTGTCTTCTTTCTGTAAACACTAACATCGATGGTACCATCTTCTTTCACCAAATTAAGGCAATCCAGGAAAGGCAGTCCTCCATCTGAATACCGCTCAACTGTGAAAGTGATTTTATCGTCTTGTGATTATCAATGAATATTTACCGAGCGGCGATTCCGCGAGCCGCCTGAGGTGAATATCATAATTCTAGCGCGCTGATTGGTCAAATTTGACGCTTCAATGAGCGATGTTCACCTATAGGTGAATATTGGATTTTTTTAAACAAACCAGGCGAGAACCTACAAATTTCAGCCTGTAAAACGATAGATAAAAAAGTAGTTTTAGACAAGGTTTTTATTATTAAATAAACAAAACTTACCTGTAAAAAGTTTTAATCCAATTTTTTTAATCCAATTGTTTAATCCAACGACTCGCGGACGACGCCATTTTGCGAAAAAATCCAATATTCGCTCGGTAAATATTCATTGATAATCACTTCGTCTTCGGCGAATATAGAGATAGTTCATAGAGAGCGTGTGTATATCCAGTTCTACATGCACGCGGGAGGCTGCTAAGCACGAAAAATAGCGTAAGAGTGGCACGACTAAAGCAATTTCGACATTGTCGAAAGTTTTTGTTTTCAAACTAAAAGTGGTTATTCTTGCTCGCCGAGGATAAGACAAATTCAAACTTTTCAAAGGAGCAATTGTTGAACAAGGACCCAATGCCTATATTCTGTGGGGCACTTCCTTGGACATCATGGAGGAGCAAATTATTCTGTTGAACAGCCGCAGCAACTGGTGGAAGTTGAGGGAGTTGAAGGGAAGGCTGACTGACAATAGCACCTGTTGAAGATGAACTTTGCTCGAGGCGTCTTGAAAGGACATCGCTGCAATGATGAAGCTGTGCCGTCGATGGACGAGTGTTGTAGTGGCTTAAACTTTGTTCACATCTATGGCCAGATATAGCCATTATGTTGTCTGTTGGCGAATCCAGCATCAGACCACAATGTAATGGCCGTAGCACGAACACAATGATTGGTGTAAATACGGGACAACTCGGCGGCTTTGCTAATCTCCTTCATCATGTTGTCTAACTTATTTACTCCTAGTGGACGGTTTTCAAACCAAACTTCGTCTGAAGGCTTCCAATTCCTCTTAGGATATTGGAAAAATGACTGA